GTTTATGCAGCTGTCCTTGATTCCTGAGGCATGGCCAAAGATCTTGATGATCAAAAGAATGATACTAAATGTTAACTGATGCTTAAAGAATTCTCTTTTAAATAATTAAATCAGCCATATTAAAACATAAATATTTATCAGTGACCAGACTGTTCCTACTTAGGTCATTATCCTAGTTTTCATGGGAAAAGGACATAGGAAATGAGCCTTAAAAGAGGATAAATACAGCAAGACAGTAAGCACAGGAGAGTAGAGGAGAGAGGGGGGGAATATCGTCATCATTATCAGAGGGAATGAAAAAGATTTGTTAATGACATTGTTTACCTCTTTCAAGCAGATGGGAAAACAGATACTGTCCAGGTAATCAGAACAGGCTTGCTGTCTGATTTATTTGTGGAAATTCTGATTTCCTGTACAGTATTACAAAATCCACTGGCTGAGAAACATCTGTCATTGGTTAGTGATGCATTGTTTGGAATAGGGAAATAGGTATCCATTCATTGCATTTAGAGAGAGCAAATTGGTCTTGGGGAGGATCCTTCCTTTTGTTTAACAGTACTCAGGTTACCTCACTGCCTTTCTAGATGTTTTTGTTTTATAGCTGTGGGGATAGAATGTTATGTGTTCTAGAGCTGCTGAAGACAGGGCTCTGGTACTCACAGAATCTGAAATATTTCTGTAATCAAAGTTATAGATAAGCATTGAATGTTGTATGTGTGTAACTTATTTCTGAAGCTTGATAGCCGATCATCACTCCATTCCATTCCATCAGCCATGCTGGAGAACAAACAAAATCAAGTGCTGTAATATGTGTATTCCCCGACTTTAGGGGACTAAATTATAATTAATCTTTCTAATTTGCTTACATAGCAATCCGTTGTGAGCACTTGATTTTGTCCCTCCCCTTTTAACAGTATTTTAACATTGCATATGTCCTCTGTAAACATATGGTATATACATACAGTAATGTAGTAAACTTTAATGAATACATTTTTATTATGTGTTGCCTGCTACTTCAAACGTATCCAAATGTCACCTTGTGGTTTAAGCTCCTCTTTTGTTTAAACAGAACAAATACTGCAACTGATTACACACCATTTTTCTGATGCAGGTAGACTATGATGTGTGCAGTAACTATGGAAACTGGCTGTACAGTGCTGGCATAGGAAATGACCCCCGGGAGAACAGGAAATTCAACATGATCAAACAAGGGCTGGACTATGACAACAACGTAAGTTCTGATTGCGCTCCTATTGGGAAGCAAAACAGTCTGTTCGGCCTTTTTGTCAGTATGGAGAGAAATTGATTGAAGATTGAAGTGTCTCTACAGTAATTTTCAATTTCGGTTAGAATGGTAAAGCTATAGAAAAGGTGCAATCAAAAACGAGATGTTCCTGCTTTGCTTATTGTATCACAAGAAAGATGAATTCCTACTGTGAAAAATTCATCTTTTTAACCCCTCATCTACAAACGCTCTTGTGTTTTCCCTTTTCCCTGGCTGTTCTGCTGTGTTTCTTCAGGGAGACTATGTGCGGCTATGGGTCCCAGAGCTGCGTGGCTTGAAGGGAGGAGATGTGCATGCTCCCTGGGTCCTCAGCAGCGCCTCACTGGCCGACGCCGAAGTCTCTCTGAACCAGACATACCCCGTGCCCATGGTCGTTGCTCCTGAGTGGAGCCGGCACACCACCAGCAAGGCAGTGAGTGTGCACTTTAATCCCCTTCCCGTTGCATAGTGAGGAACCAGAATGTCATCCTCTGTTGGTAATCAATAGGATTATTTTATGGCATTCTTCTGTTTTTAAACAATGCTTCTAACAGTTTGTGTATGAGTTTTAACATGTACATGTAATTGAGAGAGTTCAAGTATGGAGCTGCATCAGCATGGGTAGGCTGCAAAGGAGCAGGTAGCGGTTTATACCATCCTAAAAAGGAAAGTGACACAACGTTGCGTCTCTTTCTTTTCACCATGGTATAAACATTAAGCGGGTTTTTTGGGACTGTTATTTTTAGATTTCCCTATTGGTTTTGAAAATCCCTCTTCTAACTTTAATGCTGATACCGAAGCCATTCACCCAAGTACAATACTCCTTTACACCTAATCAAACTAATCTTAAGTGTATTGTTCAGAATTTAACTCATCTTAAATCTATTTTTTTATTTGATATTATTGTCAGGTTTGTTCCACGTATCCAATACTTTACAATTAGTGTACTATTTTGATTTTTACAACACCCCTTTATAATTCTCCTTTAGTATAATTGAATGAATTTTAAATAATCTAAATTTAATTTTAAATTAGACTTTTTATCTAATTGTATAATTCGACAACACTTTTTTTTATGTGTAGATTTCCCTGCTATTACACCACGAATCGTCTATCATGCTTCTTCTCTTTTTTTTTGTTCTAGAGTGGCGGGGGACTGAGTCAGAAGGGGAAAAGGGGCCCATCTCACACCCCAAAACAACACAGAGATCGAGGAATCGACTTTTACTTCTCAAGGAATAATAAAAAACTGCAGTGAGGGAACATTTTGCCTGTGAAAACACTGTTGGACTTTATGCTTATATTCCTTTTAGACAGGCAAACAGCATCTGCAAGAAAAGTGGAATAAAGCACTGAGGCCGAAACTACAGGCACTACAGGATGTGGGGGACACAGGGCAGCCACAGAGAAAACCAGTACCAATATATTTTTTTACTGAAGTGGGATTAACAGAGCTACCTTTATTGCAAATATGTTACATTACATAGGAGTGCTATGAGGATTTCTTTCTCAATCAAAAGGATTATATACCCATCAGGGAGATTAGGCAGATAGTCATTTCTGTGATTTAGCCATTAACGTGTTTTGGATTACTGCACAAAGGAAAATAAATCAGGGTATGTTTTGTTGTATAAAACAATAATAGATGCACGCATAATATAAAACGGGTGAGAAAAAAAAGAAACATGGGTTGCATGCATATTAATCACTCTTCACACACCTGTACAAACCCCATTGTGTAATTCAGTAGGTTTTCCTCCACTTTGACCAGGATTTGGTTGACACCCCTATCCTCAATATAGGTGATCCACATCTGTGTTGCGGGGGTGTTCTCCCAAAAGTGGGTGTTGTCAAGCCAAGAAACATAAAATGGGTTATTTTAACAGTGTAAGGATGGATCAGCTTTCAAATTAGCCGTGAATGGGAATGCAGCTAGCAACCTAAATACATTGTTCTATGAACTTAATGACCTACTCTGACAAAAGATAAAAATGACCATTGTTCTCAGTAAGTGTAAGTGTTCTCCTTAGATCACAGAATCATCTTCCCTGTGAACTAGCAGCAATTTCCTGTCATATCTGTAGTTATTTCTCTTTTCTTACACAACACAGTGTAATCATAGGTCAAGTTTGTTTTTCGTTTTACAAGATTTTGAGAAATTAAATAGCTTAATTAAACCATAATTTGGTTTGTTGTTATTGTTTGTAATAAGTACATCGGAAATATATACACTGCATACTGTTATATACAGTAATAATTAAATTTGATACCTTATGTTGTTGGTTTTGGTTCCAGTAGGTTTTTTTATTCTTATATGGGACTCAAGGCAGAATATGTCTATAAGTGTCTGTTACAGTAATGAAAAAGTTGTATAAGTATGGTGAAATGGCTTTTTTGCTGATGGCACTTGTGGAAGACCAGTGGCTGTATTAAGTTAGGATATTTATAAAAATGTGTTTGCTGAACTTAGAAACTTAGTTTTGAAATAGAATGACTTTGAAAGAGCAGGATATATATTGTGAATGTCTATGGATGTTTGAAAACAGATCTGGCTGTACACACAGAGACACATGGTTATTTAAGGAGCATTTATGACAGAAACCGGAAGACGCTTCTTTACACCAAGGACTATGAAAATCTGAAACCATACTCCTAACAAAGCCACATTGTTGAAACTCTGGGGAAGTTTCGTTCATTAATTCAATAAGATGCTAATAATAAACAAGCCTCCACTCTTTTGCAACCTTGCTTGTGTTCTCCTGTTAAGGCAGGGATAACACAAACGCATCTTCTGTCCTATAATTTCAGAATCATTATTGTCTAGTTTATCCACACCCAGTTTGGAATTGCAGATTGTTTTTCACTTGATTATATAACTAGGAGCTCTGAACTGAGAGAAAGACATTGATGCTCCCCGTTTACATACTTTCAGTTTGCAGGTTTGGAGTGCCCGTCAGATCCTGTGAGCTGCTGCTGTTCTGAAAGTTAAAAAAACCCTGATCAATGAAATCCACCGAACACATATAATATCATGCCGAAGTCTGCTCCCCCCACATAAGCCACACAGGAAAAAAGTCATGAAATTATGTTGTGATGTGTATTATATCTCTGGTGACCTGTCAGTGTCACTTCACTGTTCAGTCAGTGATGATCTGTGTTGTTTGAATAGATGGACCTGACCTTTACTGAGCATAATTAGAATTTCTCATTTGATATTGGAAGGCATTCTAATTTGAATATCACAGAGGTAAAACTACATACATCATCACAAGTAAAAGGTTTATTCCATGCTGAAAATAAAAGAAAGAAAACCCAATGTTTCGGCTGTGGAGCCTTCTTCAGGTGTGAGACACTCCTCAAGAAGGCTCCACAGGCAAAATGTTGGGTTTTCTTCTCTTTTCAGCATGGAATAAACCTATTACTTGTTCCTTTGCAGCCGACTTATGCCGACGCAGCTACCCACCTGAACTACATGAACTAACGTATACTCCCTTTTCTGGCACATCTTAGGTTTAATACGCCACTATATTTTCTATAAAACCAAAGACATAAAGTAATGTGCAATTGTAAGTTACTGTACATTGTATCGATATCTTCATCCTGCTTATGCAAAAAATACAGGATAAGTACAGGATACATAAGTGATGAAGAAAATTAATGACTAAATGTAGAAAGATTTGTGATTTAATATCATTGGGTGGAATAAAATCTGCCATCACCTTGAGCCAGTTGGAAGTGATCACCTTGGAAATCGCAGTTCTTGTCAGCAAAGAATCACAACGCCTGAAATGCAGATACCAACCTGTGTTCTGTGTAAATGTCTAATGGATGAGCCATGTGTAAAGTAAATTTTTATTAAATGCTTTGTCTCTGATCACCACCTATATTGAAACTTGTTCAAGATTGTTACAAACGAGGGGATTCAGGAAAATAGAGCACTAAAGTAAAATCTATAATTAGTTAAAAAAGTGGTAGGTTACAATTTGAGGCCTAGTTCTTGGGAGGAAGTTCTTGATGTGCAATTTATGGCACAGCTCTGCTGACAGAGTAGTGACACTACAGTCAAAATGTGATAGACAAATATTTCTTAACAAATTAAATAATTACACAACAACATTGAACATTACACTATACTGTATATACAAAATATAAGGGGCAGCCTAGACAGCTATAGGGAACAGGGGAATGTGCAGGTAACAACAGACAGATGCTAAACAACACTAATATACTAAATCCTTAAAGTCCAGGAAGAGGCCAAATTCAGGAACCATCAAGGCAATCCAATGAGAAATAAAACACGAGTAATGAAATAGAACAGGGATTATATGAGACATAGGATAAAGTACAGGGGAAAAAAAGCAGCCAAGTGATGCCCAAAGCTCTACCCAGACACATACCAAACTAAGCTCTAAAGGAAATGAGAGCTCAGTTTATATAGAACTGAGGAAGTGAGGCATTGAGACCTTGGCACACCAGTCAATTCGTGATTGGTTACAGCCATCTGTGTGGCCTGCGCCTCTGCTGCGCAGCCAGACCGGCAACCAGTGCCTGAGAAGATGAATCCATAACACAAAACTATGTACATCTCTGTGATTCAGAGGCCTACATCCTACAGACAGAATTATACCAATTTAATATGAAACACCATGCAATACTTGACAGGCCTAAAAGAGAAATGAACTGTGTCCTAAATGAAAGGATATAATATTATACTACACAAGACCCAAGACTACAAGATGGATGCACAAAGACAAATGGGAATTTGTTTTCCTATTCTAAAGATCCATCGTCAAACTAGGAAAAACGTATTTACTCTGAGGATTCCACAAAACAGAAAATCAGAACTTCCTAAAATAAATAGGACAGCAAGCTCTGTATCACAAGGCTCACATTACTTGGGCACAATCTGATCTCTAAGACTGATCAGAACAAGGTCCTCTCGTCCAGCTCAGCTTTAGAGGAAGGGAAGGGTGATGGTGTTACTTTTTCTCTCTCTGCACCCACTTTGTTTCTCTGTCTTTTCCTCAGTTTCACTCCCTCCTTGCTTTTTCATCCTGTGTTCCAGTGTGTTGAAACTTCTAATGATTTACCAAGAAGCTAATTTAATTACATCTCCTTTGATCATCTACTGTATGTTTACCCGCCTCTCAGGCTGCCTGAAGCTAGATAAACACCACAAAGGCCTTGGAAAGTGCATCCATCCAACCATTTTTTAACTGCTTTATCCAGAGCCCATCCAAGCAAGCAACAGACACAAGACAGGATGCGCCCTGAATCACAGGGCACACACAAACACCGACATGCACACACTCACACCAGGGACAATTTTCTCAGAAGCCAATTAACCAATCAGTATGTCCCTGGAACGGTGGAAGGGAACAGGGGAATCCGGAGGAAACCTATGAGAACACAGACAGAACAAACAAATTCCACACAGCTATCAACCCAGGAATTAAATCCAGGGCAGTAGTACAAGGCAGCAATGCTAAACACTGGGCCACACTAAGATGACAAATGACACACCCCACCCCCTGTCTGCAAGAATACCTTCACTTCTCCCTTTAACTCATCACAACCACTGCCTGCTTACCACTTTCAGGGGCCTTTGTGCCTTTTTTTAGCACATCCTTTTTTCAGATCCCTTTTCTCTGCCTCCTGTAACAACATTAACTCTGTATTTGTTTCTATACATTTTGCAGCACACCAGAGCTGTGATATTTTATGAGTACCGATACTAACAATGGCTCCAAAGATACGTGGAAAGGTCAGTACGTTCCTAGAAAAGGGAATTTTGCGTCATATTATCAATTTGATGTATGGCTCGAATAAACATTTTCTTTAGTAACATTGGAAAGAGAAGTTTTTTTTTTGTTGATTCTAAAGGACTGATAATTGCGCTTTGCATCATGAAAGGATATAACAAAAACTGCATTTGATATAAAAGCAAACAAGAAGATTTTGAAATAAGTTATAATTACATGTTTTTGCCCACAGCTGAAGAGCAGTCTTTGCTTTGTATGCTGATACGAGCAACAGACAGTAGTTGCTGCTTGTGACATTTCACTAGTGTTGGAAATATGCCGAGGTAGCAATCTGGAGTGGCATAAGGACAATGTTCTAAAACCTTTGGAATCACAACTGTTTAATTCTAGTACTAAAGTATGCTTTAAGCTAAAAGATACTCGCCTAACACTTTGCAAAAGAGAACACCCAAATCAAACACAATTTTGTACTTACTTAATCTGACACTGAAGGTTAGCATTGCAGCCTCACATCAGTTCCCAGAGTCTGTGTAGAGTTTGTATGTTCTCCCCATGTGCATGTGAGTTTCCTCTGGGTGCTGGATTCTCTTTCAGTCCAAATACATATTGGTAGGTTCATTGGCTTCAGGGAGAAATTGGCCTTGGTGTGAGTCTGTGTGTGTGTTTGTCTGTGTGTGCCCTGCAATTCCTCACAAGATACTTTCTGCCTTGCACCCATTGCTGCTGGGTTAGGCTCTGGTGTCTCCCATGACCCTGTACTGGACAAAGTGGTTAGAAAATGGTTGGATGGATGGCATATAACACAGCTATTTTGCTCATTGAGGGCACTTCACATTAAGGGCATTGAAGGAACACTGCAGAGGTACAAGTTAGCTGTGTCAGTGTGCGTTGGCTGTAAAGGAACAAGTAAAAGGTCACACTGAAATGTAGAAAGAAAAGGCACAATGGCTTTGTTGTTAAGACATCTTCAGGTGTAAAGCAGAGAGAGGAAGACAGCAGGAGTATAAACCATGTGAAACAAAGGACAGAGCAGGTGAGAATCGGCACAGAGCAGAAGAGAAAGTGTATCCAGATGAAGGGATATCTGGTGTAGAGGTTTGTAAAGCTGAAATCTGCAAACAAATGAAGAGGCTCTAAAAAGCAATGAGTCCATCTACGACAGAAGGTGGAACATGTGATCCACTTTTAAGGATAATCTTTGCTGCTAATATCTTGCTGGAGTAGGAGTCCTGAAATCCCTGGTCAGTGAGAGGTGAAATGATGAACCATCTGGCTGAAAGAGATCTTTGATCCTCATTGCTCTGACATGTTTCCTGAAACAATCAAGAAAGTCCTCTTCCTCTGCATTTTTTGTGAGAGATTTTAGGTGATCTTTAAAATGGCCAAAGGGGCAGTGTGTATGCACTGGAGACATTGGAGACATATTTGCAGGTGATGCAGTGGTTTAAGTTACTTCAAAAGATGTCTGACATGAATGGTGGCTATGGGCAGTTAAGGGAACTGTGGCCAAGAAGGTTGTGCAGGTTAGGTGGTCGGTGGTATGAGATGCTAGTTGGTTGAGCAAGAGTCACCTACGCAGAAAACATCCCCCAGAAAATCAGCCTGACAAGGAATCCCCAGACGCAGAACTGTATTCCACTGATGCTTCCCTTCCACCTTATCACTGATATCATCCCATATCTCCATACACCTCTGTCTTCCTAGTGGTAGCAGCTGGTTGCCTAGATGCTTGTCCATTTCCACACAGTCAGGGTTAGCTCTGGAGTGTGGACCAGACCTGGAAATGAGGGACAGAGATAAATCAAAGAAAGATAAGAAAATTAAAACAGTCCATCCCAATACTTCCCAGTTATCACACACAATTAGTCCTTTGGCTGATACCTGTTACATTGCATGCCTCCGAAATACCTCTAAAAGGACTTGAAGGATGCAGCAACTGATAGTTGCCAGGCAGTGCCTCAGCAGTACTTTAGCATGCAGTGAGGAAGAGTATGATTGTACCGGTGGGAGACAGAAGGCTCTTGCAGACTGGGGGCAAGATGCATGTCTGTGTTACAGCCAGCTCCCATGAGGCAGTACAGCTGTGGCAGCACATTACACTCTTGTGAGCTAGGCCAGGCCTTTAGGCAGCTCTATAATGACCTGGCCTACAGTATCGGCAGTCTGGATTCAAATCCAAGCCTGGGCCGTTAGTCCTCCAGTGCTGCATAGATATGAATTGATCATTGTAATTAGGTAAAATTGTTTTGCTTTGGGAGCTTCAAAATGTGAATTAAATCTTGCTGAGTCACTGGTTGTCTTGTTAAGTTTAATACTTTCATTTCATTTGAGAAAATTCAGTTAAACCACTTCAGGAAATATGCAAAGTATTGAGCCTCTCTTGATGTGTTTTACCTTGCTAGATGCTCTAACTTATCATTAGACGAGCTCACACTGAGCTGAGGTGCTCAAAATAGACTGTTGTTCATAATCGACAAAATGCACCGGTTAGTTATCTGTTCTTGGTGTTTCGACTATGTTATTGCTAACCTTCAAGGCTGGCTGAACTGTATGATGTGGCTGGGTTTTCTACTGCCTTTTTGCCATATAATTTCAGAAAATGTACGGTGCCTAGAGCAGGCTTACTGTATATTGTACCAGCAAGAAATCACTTAATAATAATAATAATAATAATAATAATAATAATAATAATAATAATAATAATTGCTTACACTTATATAGCGCTTTTCTGAGCTTTCTACCCAAAGTGCTTTACAGGTAATGGGGATCCCCTCCACCACCACCCATGTGCAGCATCCACCTGGATGATGCGACGGCAGCCATAGCGCACCAGAACGCTCACCACACATCAGCTATCAGTGGGGAGGAGAGCAGAGTAATGAAGCCAATTCATAGAGGGGGATTATTAGGAGGCCATGATTGGTAAGGGCCAATGGGAAATTTGGCCAGGACACCAGGGTTATACCTCTACTCTTTTCAAGGAACGCCCTGGGATTTTTAATGACCACAGAGAGTCAGGACCTTGGTTTTACGTCTCATCCAAAGGACGGCGCCTGTTTACAGTATAGTGTCCCCGTCACTATACTGGGGCATCAGGACCCACATGGACCTCAGGGTGAGCGCCCCCAGCTGGCCCCAATAACACCTCTTCCAGCAGCAACCTTAGTTTTTCCAAGGAGGTCTCAAATCCAGGTACTGACCAGGCTCACACCTGCTTAGCTTCAGTGGGTTGCCAGTTGTGAGTTGCAGGGTGATATGGCTGCTGGCAAATAAGTTCTTGATAATGCAATAATTGTTAAATTAGTGAGTAGTTTTAAATTAGGAAATCACTCAACTACTCAGATTGTACATGCAATATACCTTATATACTAAAGAAGAACTTCATTTCCTGGAGGCCACCATTATTTTATAATTTGTAACTTCCTTTTTACTATTGGACTGAAGAGCTGTCACTCCTCCAACATGACGCCCCTCTCATTTTGTTCCTCATTCTTATCTTGAGAAGGAACATTTCCTGTAAAGGGCGTCACTGGTTTGAGTGACGTGAATTACTTGAAGTCCGGTGTTATGTCGGATTTTCTTACTTTGTGCAAACGCACTTTTTTTTAAATTGTGTAATCGGTTTTTAGAAATTCTTGTAACTTTTTGTGGGCAAGAGGGAGACCCGTGAACGGCAGTTTTTGAATACTGTTTCGGAAATTTGAAAATAAGTACAGAAATGAACAACTCTTGAAAAACAGAAGACGTACAAAAATCAAGCTATTACTATTTTGTTTTTTAAGTACTGGTGCACAGCTTTAGTTAACTGCGGTATTTGCGTGCGATTGAGCAAATATGTCTGAAACCGATTCTTATGGTATTCCTTTAACAGCGCTAAATGTTACTGTAAGAAAAAAACTTAGTCTTTACTTAAATCCGAAAACAACGGTAGCTGCTGACTGGACGACTCTGGCTGAAACGATGGGTTTCGATTATCTGGAAATTAAGAACTTTGATCAGTACCAGGACCCCACCAAGAAGATATTGGATGAGTGGATGTCCAGATGCCCAGAAGCGACGGTAGGAAAGCTAATACAAATGCTTAACGAAGCAGGAAGGGAAGATGTGATTACAGATCTTAAACCTATTATAGGTGAGTCTTCGTATATTATCCTGGAATTTATAGGTATAAAAAGTTTTTAAAGAATTGTTAGGTTGTTATTTTTTATGTCAGTTACAGGACAGTATAGTAGGATACAGGATAGTAATTATATTACTATGACGCCTTAGAAGATGTTTTCTTTTTAATATTTACCTTGCTTGTAATAGAGCAACTTTAGTATTGTTTTACCATTATGTTTTATGGGGCCACGGGCTTTCTTTACAGGTCCAGCTAGAATACATAAAATCTCAATGTTGATCCTCAGTCCTGGGTTTAAAATCTCTCAGGACTGCACCAGATCTGGGCTTTTATCTGCAAACACATGTGCAACCAGGAGAGGCATAAATGAAAATACAAAGCAAGCTAAGGCATACGATAAACAGGGCTCGTATGGTATCACACCAAGGTGAAAACTACAAATTGCACTTGTTTATTAGTGGACTGTATACAGTGCCTTATACAAAGTATTTAGACCCATTATTAAAAGATACAAAGTGATGATACACATTTTTTAGACTTAATATTTTATTCAAAATCGAAATGCTCAAACAGAAGACTTCTGAGGATAAGTTAAACTACAGTAAATGTCAACAAACACCAAACTGAAAAACAAACAGAAAAATTACATGTATGTTCAGACCTATTAAATAAATATTTGGCGGAAGCACTTACAGCCACAGTTTTTGGGTATGACTACCAACTTTCTACACCAGCTTGGTACACTTTTTGCTCATTCTTATTGGAGGAATGGTAAAGCTCTCTCAGGTTGCCTAGGAATCTCTTACAGGTAGAGGAATCATTCCACAGATTCTCAATAGGATTCAAGTCAGGACTTTTACTGGGCCACTCAGAATAATTCCTTCTGATTCTTCAGGCATTCCAGTATAACCTTGGCCTTGTGCTTTTGCTCATTGTCCTGATGAAAGATTAATTTATCCTGCCGTTTTAGATCTGAAGCACGTTTTCTTCTATGAATACTTTGCTCCATCTATGTTCCCATCAGTCTTGGCATGCTTTCTGCTCCCTGCTGATTAGAAGCAGAACTATATTTGAACTATATCATAAGCAGAACATTCTTGACAGATGGATGGTATTATAGACTGAGTGTTGGGTTTGCTTCAGATGTAACACTTTGCATTCAGACCAGACGTTTCTAGTTTTGCCATGTGTGACCACAATTACATGTTTGTGGTATTGTTTAGGTGCTTTGTTGAAAGCTTCATGCAGTACATGTGATTTTTTTTTTCAGTTCCAAATAGTTTCCTTTGTGGTGTGACCTAGATGTATTCTTTCATATCGGCTACTAGACTCTGTAAGTCTCTTAAGGTCCCCTTAGGCTTCACAGTTACATCCCTTAAACGGTTTCCTCCTTGCCCGGATGCACTGTTTTAGGCACACAGCCTGATATAGGCAGTGCCTGGGTGCCTTCTGTAAGGAAGTGTGGTTCAGCACCATATCCAGACGGTATAATCTGGAAGTAAGTGGAGAAGGACATCAGGGGAAGGTACAGCAGGAAAGGATGGGTTGACAGACATGGGGTGGGGATGGCGGTGATCCGGTGCTCGGGGGGCGTGACGAAGGCAACTAGTCCAGGGAAGTCCAAAACAAGAAATCCGGGGTGCAGTCCAAAAAGTCCAAAAACCAGGTGATCCATCTAAGACAAGACAGGGTTAAATTCCGGAACAGGATCCGGAACCGGAACAAGAAGTTAAAGAAAGTAATTTGGCCAGGCGCTCTGAGCCCCGGACTCAGACTTCAGGACGCCGTGAGAAAGCCTATGCGGTGGGGTCTCTCCTGGACCCGCTGGTAGGTGGGATTCCGGGCATCCATCTCCCAATGCTGAGCCAGGAATAGTGAGAGTGCCAGGCTTAAATAATGAATCACAAAACAGGTGGCAACAGCACATAATCAACTAAAATACGAAAGTGTCTGAGCGCCCTTAAGAGGAGGGATCCCAACTGTGTCCCCTTCGTCTTCTTATCCATTTCACAAGGTTCATGTCTCGCCGTCTGTAGCCAGAGGGTGCTCCTACTCTGTCCTGTCTCTAGTTTCCTGTGCTTTGCTCTCCTTCCGGTGTCTCTCTCTCTGGGGCTATATATTTTGGGTCTTTCATTCACCTTTGCTCAGCATTGACGTTCAGATGTCCTGAGACCCGCCTAGCATCAGGTCGCCGCTCCGTCCGTAGCCTGAGGGCTTAGGATTCTATACGACAATTCCAGAACTCTTTGCACTGCAGAGCCCGGGCTATCTCCCCGTTCCGCCGCTTTGCATAGGGTCTTTTTCCGCTCCCCTGCCTCTCCACAGTTTGTTCCTTCCGACTTCCGTGACAGATTGCTGAGCCATCTCTGACCCCGCGAGCGGCACTTTTTGTCTTGCCGCAGTTTTTTCTTTTTTGCTCTGGGCTTTTTTTTTCAGTTCTTCTATTCTAATCGCGGGATGCTACTCCAGACTTCCGTGCCTGTGAGCGGGTCATTCTGTGTTATGCTGTCCCGACATACACTTCTGAATACCTGGCTTTCCTCGGGTTGTCTCTCCCGGCACCATGATTGAATGTTGAGCTGGCTCTCCTATCCTTATCGCTGGATATCACTCCGGTCATCCGTGTCTGTGGGCGGGTCCTGTGCCTGGCTCTCCTCGGGTTGATCACTCTGATATCAGTGATAGGATGTTGAGCTTTTTCCCTGCTTTTCTATTCTCAGTGCTGGATATCACTACAAGCATCCGTGTCTTTGAGTGGGTTTTGTGCCTGGCCCTCCTCGAGTTGTTCATTCCGATATCAGTGATAGAATGTTGAACGTGTTTTGCCCAGTTTGCGGTATTTTTCCCGGGTTTTTGTTTTTATTTTTGTTTCTTGCTTGGTGTTTTGATTTTTCACTTCCTGGTTTCCTCTTCTATTTGGTTCCCCTGTTCCCTGTGTCTCGGAACTTTTGGTTCCTATCTGTTTTTTGTTGTTTGTTACCCTGGTCTCCCAGGTTTATGTTTGTTGTGGTTTGTGCTTGTTTACTTGTCTTTTTTGACACCTTTGTCTTCTTATCAATTTCACAAGGTTTATGTCACGCCCTCTGTAGCCAGAGGGTGCTCCTACTCTGTCCTGTCTCTAGTTTCCTGTGCTTTGCTCTCCTTCCGTTGTCTCTCTCTCTGGGGCTATATATTTTGGGGTCTTTCATTCACCTTTGCTCAGCATTGACGTTCAGATGTCCTGAGACCCGCCTAGCAGCAGGTCGTTCGTGGCCTGAGGGCTTAGGTTTCTATACGACAACTCCAGAACTCTTTGCACTGCTAAGCCCAGGCTATCTCCCCGATCCTCTGCTTCGCATAGGGTCTTTTTCCGCTCCCTTGCCTCTCCACGGTTTGTCCCTTCCGACATCCGTGACAGTTCAAAGATATATTAAGGGTCTTTAAAATGTTTTTACACCTCTCTCCTGATCTGTGCCTTTATACAACTTTGTCCCCGAGTTGTTTTCAAAGCTCTGTTTCGCCAAGGATGACTTGACTGCTGACCTTGGGTCAACCAACGGTACCTAAGGTCTATGATGAACATGGGAGAGAATCCTTTAAGATGTCATTAGTATCCTGGTGCAAAGTATGAAATGCAGATGTACAGCTTGTATTGCTTCCAGCAGTGACCACTCACACTGTTAACCTGTGACAGGAGATGCCTGTTGATCAGCCCTGTCACTGTCATTCTTACATTGTGTTCTTGTTGCACCTATAAATGATCTGTTTGTCTTGATGCACAGTATATGCATATTTATTTCTCACTGATAAAGACATGGTGTTGTAGCTGTGATATGACAATCCCTATGTTAATAGAATGGTTAATAGAAAAGGTATATTATATGAAAATAACCTTCAGTAATATCATGTATCCTTCTTACCAATGTTAAATTACTTAAAGGGGAACTGCAGTCCCAATTTCTCAGACTAGTTATTAAATCTTGGTCACAAAATAAATTTATTAATGGAATAGAAACATTTTAAGCACAAAAACGTGAACTTTGTGAAAGTATTTGAAGTGGCTGCATTGCCGCGGACCTCTAGTCTTGCCACAGGCAGGAGTGAGAGTTCCCACAGATTGTGACATGAAGTCAGCCCTCCCTGCTCACTAGTCACCGAAATCACTTAATCGCTAGTGTAATGCGATTTACAGACGACTAGGTACAGGTTGTGTGGCAGATATTTGCAGATATTTGTGATCTGCATGCAGAGTTAACCAGTGAGTTCTATTTGTCGGCAAAACCGTCTCGAAGTCGAGAGCAATGTTCCTACTGGAGTAAAAGAAATGTATTCACAAGCCTGTTTGATTACAATGCAAGAAGGCCACTTCACGTCACCAGTAGTTTTGTTGTCTCGTTCAGATTTGCAAAAAACGGCACTGCGCATACTTGGAAACAGCATCTATTTTGTGAAGGAAAATGTTAGGTTTTACCAGATACTGTGTAGACCTTAGTTTTATTGTGGTTTAAAATGCACTCATCAATACTGATTCCTTCTAACCCCAAAATATAAAAATAGCATTGCAGTTCCCCTTTAATTGAATAATATTTTTAAAATGCACTCATCAATACTGATTCCTTCTAACCCCGAAATATAAAAATAGCATTGCAGTTCTCCTTTAATTGAATAATAAATGGGTGGCGCAATGGCACAGGGGTTAGCATTGCTGCCTCTCAGTGCTAAGGCCCTGGGTTAAATTCTGTCTGTATGGAGTTTGCATGTTCTCCCCAAAGTTCACTTGGATTTATTCCTACCACAGTCCAAAACCATACTAGTTGATCAACTGGCTTCTAGAAAAATGTGTCTGATACAAATAAAGTTCAAGAACACATCCAAAATGATATTTCAAAACTACTACGTGGTGAAGAATTGAGAGAGAGCCCAAGATGCCATCAAAATCAGAGCTTACCACTACTGGGGGAGGTTTAGGTACAGAACTGGTTCAGAGCGAAGTTATTTATTGATTTTCAGTTTTATATGGGGTTTTGTATGGATATAATAATTACTAAAAAGGCTTGTTCTAACTATTCTCTGTGAAATATAATTACATTATTAAATATTGTATAATATCATTTTCTTTCACTGAAATATTTTCGTGTTATATAAGTTAAATGCAAAAACGTTTGTCGTAGGCTTTTTTTCACATGGATTCCTGAATCCCCTCAGATGACCCCTTGAAGCATGTTTACCTAATAATTGCAGTCTCCTCTAATCTCCAAATTCTATGTTTGTAGACAAGGATTGTAAGGATTACCTGAGGAAGAAACAGATGAAGGAACCCCCGGTGCAGGTTCCGGAGGTGACTAGTTGTGGGCCCAGGACGCAGGAAATCAATGGCATTACAGTTCTTGATGACCCGATGGGTGAGTACAGACAATAGTCTGCTAGTCAAGAACTTCAACCACAGCCTGAGTGACCTTACCAGCTGTATGAACGGAGCCAAACCACCCGATCCTCTCCTGAATGTTTTATTTCAAGCATGTACAAATTGATTGTCAAGGAAATTGTGATCTGAAAGAGACTTTCAATTTTAAGCAATTCAATTATTTGAATTATGACTGAGAGGTCTCCTTTTGCTTTTAGAGTGATGGAGATGTTCATATGAAACTGGTTCCTCTGAAATTGTTTTATCTTATCTTTCCGCTGTAACCCAAGCCTTTTTCACATATTAAATGGGGCAGTTGTGTAATGTGCTAATCAGCCATCTGACACTTAAATGTCAGTGGACTTTGTGTGTTTTGAAATAGATAAGGCAGTCTGTTGAGAAAAGCACAACTGCGGCTAGTGTTCATTCTGACTCGGATATTCTGGTGTGTTTTAATTTAAGGGAGATGCTTTCTCCTTTGTCATTGATGATCCTGTGGTTTCAGGTCACATGCCTGAAATGTTTGACGCCTTCATCTGTTACTGTCAGAATGACATTGAGTTTGTCCACGAGATGATCAGGCAGCTGGAGCAGACGGAGTACAAGCTGAAGCTCTGTGTCTTTGACCGGGATGTCCTTCCAGGCACTTGTGTGTGGACCATCACCAGTGAGCTCATTGAGAAAAGGTGAATAGCCAGTATTCAGGCACCTCTCAACCCCTTTAATGCATTTTAGGCAGAAGCTTTTTAACATGTGGGAGATACCTTGTGCTGTTTTTACTGTGTTCTGGCTGCGGCAGAGAGTCCTTAGGAATAAGTAAAAGTGTAGGTGATCCAGGACAAAAATGATGGGATTCTAGACAATGAAAGGGACATGTCTGATGTACTAAACATGTACAGTATTTCACTCAGCTATTCACTGAGGAAGAAGCCAACAATATACCTCAGGCACAGAAAGACGTTACATAGAAGCATAGCATAGAACAGGGAACATTTTCAGGTAATATAGTTAATATATTTTTTTTATTTTTTATTCATACACAATCACATACAAGCAATACTCTGATAACAGGTCTAGACACAATGCCAATCTAACTCTTTCCTTAAGGAAACAATCAGTAAAGCGTCACCAAAGACAAACTGCTACACAAACATGGTAACTCTTTATTAACTAAGCCAAGCCTCATGCAGTGGAAGTAGGTAAAGATAAAAATGCTGCTGGAAGTTAGTGCACCTGTATACAATCCTGCTGTGCAGCCTGTGAGTAGCCAAATGTAATCCAGTAATAATCATAATAAATAATAATGCACAAATAAGCAAAATTGTGACTATTGAACTTGGTGTATATTACATCATCATATAACTTTATATTACATACATGTCTTATATTTTGGGGGGGGTGTCTGTTAAGCAAAATTAATTGATGTTTGTTTTCTCGAAGGTGTAAGAGGATGGTGGTGGTAATTTCAGATGATTATTTAGACAGTGAGTGCTGTGACTTTCAGACCAAGTTTGCTCTGAGCCTCTCTCCAGGTAAGGGTTCATGCTGTATGTCTTAGTGGTTTCCACCCTGGCATTCAGTGCAATGCTAAAATTCCTTAATATATTCCTTGAGTGCATATGGTGTAAATTGTATATAGTTTAAAGTTTGCAGTGATGCAGAGATCTCCATCTCTGGTGCTGGAGACCCCTAATCCATCAGGTTTTGTAGGTCACCATTTAATCACCCGTTTCTAAATATGTGGAACAATTTCATTGTGATCCATTAAAGAGGTGATTGCTTAATTTAAGCCCTTTAGAGATCACTAAGAACTGCAATCTAAGTACTTTTCAGCCCTTAAGGACCAGAGTTTTCTTAATTGAACAGATACTGTGCTTGAGTGATTAATTTAATCATCTTACAGGTTTTGCCAATCTTTAAAAAATGATTACCTGTATGACTAACTGGATAGAGTCTCTCCAGAGACCCTTGTAATAAAGTGTCACAACAGCTGTAGAAGGCTCTATCCCTAATTATGTTTTTTTTTACCTTTAGAATGGGTTTTGATAATTTTCTTACTGGAATGTTTTTTTTATAGATGTATTAGCAGTAATTCTTTGTACAGTACTGTATGCCTTAATTACATGTTTCTCGACATAGTCATCTAGATGCTTATGTTGATTTAAGGCATGTTTTATATTAATAAGATTAGGTCATGGTGGTAAAACATCAAAAATTATATATTGTTGTTGAGAAATGCACATTCATATTGTTTCATACTACGTGATAAAATTAGAAAATAAGCAATGTCAAATCAATATCACAATCAGAACCTGACTCCAACTAATAAAATTAACAATAATTGCACCCGGTAAAACCAGGTAACACTAAAAGGAAAATTGCACTTTTTGTTGGTTTCTGCAGCACAGCTTGCTAATAAAGTAATAACCAGGTTGGCATGCTTAAACTGGACATACAAATTACAACTACAGAACACAAGGTTTACAGCTATATACAGACATTAGAGTCCTGGGAGTACCAGAACTCTGCAGTCTACAGCAACAGAAAACACAAAACTCTTCCTCTAATTGAGACTTAAATATATTATAGAAAGGGGGGAACCTCTTGGTGCTTATGAGTATGTTACTGTTTTAGAAGTACCATCAATACATATACTGTATTTCAAAGCTAGGCTCTTAGCAAAATACAAGTACAAGTAAAGCTCATTCTGAAACACTGAAACGGATCTGAGCTGCAAAATATTGTAAAAAGTAGCTTTTGCTAGCTAAGATGGCCTAGAATTTTGTAGTCATTTTATGGACGTTTGACTGGCTTGCATGACAGGCAATAATAGTGTACTATCTCAACTCTGACTGGTGTTTTGTTTGTGCACCACCCACTTGGGTGATGAGTGGTAATCATTAAGATAAGATCACTTTATTGGCCATATACAATTTCTTGTATTAGGAATTTGTCTTTTTACATATCCCGACTTGCTCTCCATGAGACACAAAGACAGGGAGAGAAGCTTGGGGTAAGAAAGCAGGGTCAGCCATTTTTACGGCGCCAGTGGAGCAGTTGGAGTTAAGGGCCTTCCTTAGGGGCCCAACGGAGTAGGATTCCTCCGCCAGCCGCGGTATAGGAACTGGCAACCCTCCAGCCACAGGCGCAGATCCTTAGCCACTGCACCGCCACTTTATGTACCACTATAAAGCAGGACAGGCTTATAAGTGCAAAAAATCACTCATTTAAGTAAGGGGAAGGTTTACGTTGCTCACATTGTGCAAGCCAGTAGTGTAATTTAGCCAGGACATCAAAGTTAACATGGCACTTCTGAACAGTGCCATGGAATCTTAAATATACAGATTGGCAGGGTCTTAGTTTAACATCTCATCCGAAAGGTGGTACCTTCTACAGCACTGTATTTGTGGATCATTATACTGGGAGATTGGTATTGGAAAATATGGTTTTTAAGGGCAGTGGAGGGAGGAGAGGGAAGGGAGCTACATGCTGTTTTCTGGAGGACTCCCGTTCCTTCCTTGATTAACTTGTGATACCTCATGAGATCAGGCTGGAAGGTAGCAATGCTATTTTGGTGCAAGATTGGACTCAGTCTCTTGCTAGATGTATTTTGTATTCTTTTGTATTTCATCCTGCTTTGTATTTTATGTAAGTCGAAATTTGCTTCTTCCCCTGCTTCCAGGTGCTCGTTCGAAACGTCTCATTCCAGTTGTGTACAAGACCATGAAGAAACAGTTTCCCAGTATTTTACGATTCCTGACACTCTGTGACTATACCAAGCCCTGCACAAAATCTTGGTTCTGGATCAGACTGGCCAAGGCTCTAGCTCTCCCTTAAGGTTATGGATGACGATGCCAAGCCTGCAGAGGAATGTTGTTCAATACAGGACCTCGGTGCCAACAGAGAAATGGTACATACAGAGGAATGTTTCACATCCCTACTGAATCTTTGGTACAAAACGGTTTTGATTTACCATACTTGCATATAAGCAAGCTCTGGTGGTAGATGACACTGAATGGAGCAAACTACAAATACTGATGCATATAGCCAAATTGAATTTGAGGTATTTCCCATAAAACACACCATATTCCTATAAAGGTGTTACATGTTACGTTTTGCTTTATGGTGCCAACCTGTGTATCAGTTTTCCTAACTCTGGAAGATCTACTGTACGCAGTAAAGCAGTGAAGACAGTGTTTATAAAAAAACTTGCTGAAGAGAATGGATAACATTCACTCAGTGCCATTGTTAAAGGATATGATCTTTTGTATCACATCAAGTCATTAGTATTGACCTTTTCCTTAAAAAAAACATTTTGTTACAAGGTGTAAATATTTTCTCAGTTCTTCAGACAAAAGTTTCTTGTCTTGTTGAAATGTTGCATCATCATTCTGTACATGATCTGTTTACTGGGACCACAAGGCTTTGGTCACATGCTTTTTATTTTACAAGTGTAGACAAACGTCAAAATAAATGTTGTGAAATTGTGCATTAATGTTCTGTATTTCCATTTATATTCTTTAGACTTCTAGAAGGGCCAAATCAGCTTAATTCAACCATGTTTACCACTATTAATCCAGGTTGAGTGACTTCTATACAGTTTTGATTTTTACCATGCTTATTTACTGTAGTTTTGGTCAATCCTCCAACCTGTCTAGAAAATTGCCCCCACCCCACCCCCACCATCCTGTCCTCCTCAAATATTAGTGTTGTCTGTGAGAAAACGCACAGATCCCAGAGTTTTAGAGGGTTAATTTGCCAGTTTACTTAATATAACCAAAGCGTAAAAACAAAGAGTACTGAATCTTTTATCTTAATCATCTTGTGACGATGAAAATAACATTTTTTTCATGCAGTTTACAGGATTAGGTAATAATATGAAAACAGTGTCAGGCACAGTAATATCATGAGTCTGTACTGGCAGGTGATTTTCTAATCTTAGTCTGTGTTCAGATAGCAATAAAACAGTGCTTCAAGCTTGTATGATGGAAACTCCTTTTTAACAGAAATAAAACAAAACAGTAATAATGCGCAGCTAACTAAAAACCCTGAATCCGATCTTAAATGCAAATTATCCTAACGTACACAAAAACAACTGCAAGCTGGCACATGAGAAACAAATATGCTTAATTAGTCCATGCTAGATTTTTGTCGTTTTTGTGTATATACAGTATACAGTATGTTAAATGTTACATTGTAGATGAAGCCATAAAATGTTCTGCAATTCTAATTGTGTTATTTTTGTTGTTACTTTTTCACAGATTTGTTAAAACAAATGGTCAAATATTATTTCCTATCAAAACATACTTTGCAAAATAAGGCAGATTTTTCTTTTTTTGTGTTTTTTTCTGTGCATTATATACCTAGCGTTTATCATGTTGGACATAGAGTGAAAGCCACGAGACGTGGGGTTTTGTCCAGTAAAAATGTTTGACTTGTATTGATAAAAATGTAGTGATTGCAGTGTATGAGTTATAGGTTGTGTTTAACAGGAGATAGGTTTTTAAGTAGTTCTACAACAAAAAAAAGGAAATAGAAAACCTATTTTACCATACTTCCCCCATTGTTTAAGTAAGTATAAATTTGGAGATAAAAATGTAAAACATTTGTGAACATATACTGTACACACATATGTACTCAATATGTTTATATGAGTAAGGAGGGCAGGGGTGATTTTTATGACGGGTTTGTTGAGTTCAAAATGCATTCAATCAAATAAAGAAATGGCCACGGATTTCAGTGATTGTTCCTGCCTGCTTGATTTTCAATGGCACTCGAGCTGGATATTCTTTATGATATAACGATCTTACTATTCTAGCATAATTGTTTCTAATGAATTACAGGACCTGTGAGAAGAATTCATACTTAAATGCTCTTGTCTTTTGTTAACCAGGGTGAGAGCGTGCACTTCAGTCTCGTTTCCTTTGGAGGTGAAAGAGAAAAATGTCCAGGGCCTGATTGGCGTTATAGTCTGTCTGTTTACCAAAAGTTCTCTTTTACACACATGGCTTTTAATGCACCAGTTAGTACACTATTGACTGGTAATAATTATTCTCCTTTCTGCACTCACTGGCTTCAAATGTTAGCAGGATGCTGTTTGATGAACCCTCTGTTTAGCCTCTAAACCTAAAATGTAAGGTTTGATAATAAACTAACATGACTTTGAAAACTTGTTGACCTAATAAGGAGTGACGTGAGTATCAGTTTTAGAATAACATTCAATTTTTCACTTCCCTTTCTTAATGCTCGTTAAATACTTTAAACATTGAATGTTGAATGACAGTACTCAATTTATTATAACATTCAAAACATTCTGTTTTTAACAAGTCAAAGATCGGTTTACTTCAAACCTCTGTCCCAAAGCTGTGAGGTGTCTTAATAATTTTCCCACTCATTCAAGACGCTCTCATTGCCAGAGAGTGATGATCAGTAAAATGTTATGAAAAAGTGGTTTCAGATTTGTTGAAAGTTGTTTTAAGATCACAAGTTATTTGAAATTTTCAATAGCATACACAATATATGATAGGTAAAAGCAATTATAAATAAGTTACTGCATTTATTTTAATAGACTGCCTTGCTTGAATGCTGCTGTTGAATTCCTAAATCTTAATTTTATTAATGCTTTAATTTAATTAATGATTTTCAGAAATTAATGCCATCATATGCAAAAGTCAGCAGAATGATCTTAGAATGACAAACTTGCTAACTAGATATGGGTCTCACTAACAGAATACATCCCACTGAATTTAACATTTTTAAATTAAGGATTATCATATTAAAATATGATAAAGGGTTTATTCATCTCCTTCACTGGCAGGGTTCAAATAAATAGTAATACTATTTTTTTTTTCATGTACACTGGAATTTCTAACACGTTGCCTATGAAATAACTAAATGCAAAAGAAGAAATTAAATTTAACTTTGATTACTTTTTTATACTATATGTATAGAAATTTGCATAGAAATAATGTTGTGACTACATTCCTAAGTTGTTGCAGACAGTACAAAGTCTTTAGAATGAATCCATATTACAAGTTTGAAAAATATTGTAATGATGTTACAGATGTTATATCTGGTTTTGATTTGGCAACTTGTCTTTATACAGTATGTCCATCTTAAAATGACTTGGGATCAAATATGTTATATATAAGAATGGTTTGTAGTTCAGAATTTTTAATGAGCTTTCCATCTTAATTGCTACATTGAGTCATCAAAGTATTTCAGACATTTTATCAAATCCTGTTAAAGCAAATGATTCCACACAAAATTGTTAACTGGTTGATTTGATTGTACTGTAATAACACCTGGATGTAGTCAAAACCTTGGACCAATTAGCATAATTGCAAATGAATAAATCGTTATCAGGTTATTGCCTCTCATCGGCTTCTTGCATTGGTTCAACAGAAACTCAGATCATTTACTGCAATCTACACATCAGTTGTTTAAATCTAATCTGTGCTAAAAAAGTACATAAAAAAGTTACAAGATCATATAAAAGTTACCGTGATTAACTGGCAAAACAAACCTTAAACTTTTGATCATCTGAGCTGTGCTATAGCTGCAAAGGAACAGGTAATGGGTTTATTCCATGCTGAAAAGAAAGAAAACAATGTTTCGGCTGTGGAGCCTTCTTCAGGTGTGAGGTGTTCCTTTGTAGCCTACGCAGGCTGACGGAGCTACCTGCTTGTGCTATAGCTGTACTACTGCAAACTACCACTACAAGGCAGCAGAGAACAGGTGGTTTGTGAAAGACCTTTGGTACCTCCAAGATGTGCATTCTACAGGTGATCTTTATTTGAGCATTATGGTTATTCAGGACAGTCAAGAATTACATTTCTTCTTATCTTAAGTAGTAAGCATACATCATGGCTTGTACAGTATATTATGTTTTTCTGATTGTATCAACAATGAAGAGGTTTCCCATCGTCTTGATTTCTAGTGCTGAGAGAAGCAACTTTCCAAGACTGTCTTTAATTTGAGGAGCAGTCTTTCATATGACATTTTATCTGAAAATCCAAATACACCATACCATACTGTATAACTTCAAATCTTACTGCTACAGTTCATTGCCAGATGCTAATAGTCTCCTTTTCTTAGTCTAGTTAGTAAGTTGGAAAGGATCATCCTGTTCTACTGTAAATCCATGTTGATTACCTTAATCAATACAATTTTAATTTTAATATAAATTTACTAAAAAAATATACTTTTTGCTTTTATATTTTTTCAGCACATTTTACAACTCATTAAGGTAAATCTTATTGGCCTGCAGATGGTTCAATGGTTGTACTTTATTTATGAAAGAGTACTACAGAAGCAATTTTCCACTTAGTGAGTTCCATTTCTGCCCTAAGAGTCAATTGTGCTAATAACTTCACTCATATCTCTGAATGATAGTGGAAGAATACTATTTGGGCTAGACATTTTAACTCTATTTAAACTAATGATAAAATGTGTGATTGCCTTTTAACTTATGGCACTTAAGCTACAGTATCTGTCCTATGTGATAATCTGAATAAAATTATCATTTAGAACCTTAGCCATTCCCTGCTTGTCTTCTATAATTCATATCTGTATGTCATCTTACTCACTTTACTTCTTTCTTTACTAATGTGCATTTAATTTGAGTTACTTTTAGCTTTGCTACACGTCTATCTTTCACTTGGTTCTTCTGATGTCATTTGTGACTTAAGTGTCTGTTTCACTTGTTTTACTTGGCCTTGATACCACCAACATGGCCAGAAAGTATTCTGTATTTTTTTTCTTAATCCATTTAAGATAGATAGATACTTTATTGATCCTGTGAGGGAAATTGCAGTGCAACAGCAGCTTAACACAGACAACACAGCAACAGTTTAACGAATGATACAATAATAATAATACAATACAATCAGTACAGTGAGAAGTGCACTAAGAAGAGTTACTCACAGTCCAGAACACACAAAGAACAAACCAGAACAGAACAGTACACAATAAAGTTGTATTGCACAATATAAATATAAATAAAATGTATTGCACAAGTCCCTGGCATACTGTATATTGCAAAAAAACAGTTGTAAACGGGAAAAAGAAAAAGAACGGATGTAGAAGTTTACTGTTCAATCCAGAAACAGGTCACTGTCAATGTTGCTTCTGCCCAGACGCAAGGTGGATGCGTTTTACAGTCTTATGGCAGAAGGCAAGAATGACCTCCTGTAGCGCTCCCTGTCGCACCGTGGATGAATCAGTCTATTGCTGGACGTGCTCTTCATTTCTACAAGCATCTCAGAGGGAATGGGAGACGTTGTCCATGATGGCCTCTAGTTTGGACACCATTCTCCTCTCAGCCACTACCTCCAGGGGGTCCAGGCCAGACCCAATGACAAAGCTTGCTCTTTTGATGAGCTTGTTCAGCCTGTTAGAATCCATTGCTCTAACCCCAGAGCCCCAGCATACCACCGTGCTGAAAATGGCGCTCACCACAACCGACTGATAGAACATATGTAGCATCTTACTACATACATTGAAGGACCTGAGACTCCTCAAGAAGTTAAGTCGGCTCTGACCCTTCTTGTAAATGGCCTAGATGTTCTTAGACCATTCCAGTCTATCGTCGATGTGCACTCCCAGGTACTTGTACGAATCCACCATCTCCACGCCACTCCCATGGATGAAGACAGGAGTAGGTTTGACCCTTTTCCTCCTGAAATCTACCACCAGTTCCTTCGTCTTTGTTATTGCAAGTGGTTCTCCCCATACCACTCCACAAAGCTGCTGACTAGTCCCCTGTACTCCCCCTCCCACCCACCCTTGATACATCCCACAATTGCAGAGTCATCTGAGAACTTCTGCAGGTGGCACAACTTTGAGTTGTATTTAAAGTCCGAAGTAAAGAGGGTGAACAGAAACGGAGAAAAAACTGTACCCTGGGGAGCCTCTGTGTTACTCACTACCTGTTCAGACACACAGTTCTGAAGTCTCACAGACTGTGGTCTGCCTGTCAGATGATCCATGAGAACAATAAACCAATTAGAACAATGTTTTTGAGACTTTGTTAGGTAAACATTTGGTAGGAATACTGTCTGGTTATCTGTAGAATTATGTTAATGACATTTACTGTAGTTATAAATTCAATGCCTCTTTTCTAAATTATTAACCAATCCTTAAAACTTATTGTAATTTTGAAATATACTAAACAATAAAAATGGTTATACAGTGGTCACAATTTCCCTGTTGTTGTTTTCTGTTGACAAACAGATGTTTTTCAGTTACTTTACAGGCGACCAAATCCAGTATTGTGACTGATTATATGACAGTATGATGGTATTATGACTCGATTCCATGTTTATCAACAGTAACAATATTTTTATGCAATTAATTTTGCACTTTTTTTAAGCCTGCTTGCCATTGTTCATCTGTACTAAATTGCTATAAACACACAAATCCAAAATAAAAAACTCCAGCGACTGCTTCCTTGTCCTTTCAGGCCTGCACATGTTTAGAGTGAGTAAAAGCCACAAGGCCCACTGATACAAATCAGATCAAGGGGTCTCCACCCATACTCTGTTGCGTTCACACACTCGTATACTGCCAATACTCCCATTCCCAGCAATTCACACCTGACACCTCCAAGCAAGATGACTCACCCCTTTACTCTGGGCGGAGGCTCCCACTACAATATTGCGTTTTTTCCGATACAGATGGGAAATTCTGACTTCTGAATGTTTAATTGAAAAGAATGCAATATGCATTCAAAGATACAA